AATACCGTTTTATCATTTTGAACTTTAATACCGTGATAGGAAATAAGGTGATGGGTCCTTACTTGTTTTCGGGATCCGAATACGATTCACAGTGCGCCTGCAGGCTGTCCCTAATTTTCCCCTGAATTTTTCCCGGGGAAACTGAAACACGCTAACAGTACCTGCACGGGTTCCAAAAAAATTCCAAATTAGGCCCAGGGCCTCTTTCGGCCCAAATCGCAACTCCGGCACGGCGGCTCCGCCGTGCTCCGGCGACGGCGCCGCCGCTGGCGGCGGCGAGTCGCCTCGGGTTGACTGTTTTCGGCCGCTTTTGGCCGAATTCGGCCACACTCGCATTGGTCCTTGTCAGAAAACAACCCTAGGGCCCTCGGGGGGCCAAAAAATCACGGAAAAACGGAGCTTACCGGCGGCGGCGCTCTCGGGTACGGCGACTCTCCGGCGAAGTTCGTGTTTTGGTGATTTGGCTTCGGTCAACCTGTAGAGAAAAGAATGGTGATCACGGTGATATAAAAATTGCATCGAACGGAGGCCGGGAAGGGCCTCGTCGGAGGCAAAAACCGAGAGGGGGCGCGGCGGTGCCGCTGGGCTTCGGCCGCGTATTCCGGCCGTTTGGCCGGGATTTCGGCTTCGATTTGGCCATAGGAGGAATCAGTGGGGAAAAACGAGTCGGGGGTATGAAATTTACCTCGATCGGCGGTCGGAAATTTCCCCGGTGCGGCGGCGAGTGGCGGCGGGTGGCGGCGGTCGGCCTCTGGTTCGTCTTCTCCGGCGAGCGGCTGGCGGCTAGGGTTTGTGGTCTGGTGTGGAGGTTCTATTTATAACCCCTTGCCTTTTGATCACAGCCGTTCATTTTGTTTTAATCTGGGCCGTTCGTTTTTGATTGAATCTGGACCGTCCGTGCGATTGAATCTGGGCCGTCCGATCGCGTGATTGATCTGGGCCGTCGGATCGCACCCACGCGGATCGCCAGCGTGGCTCCTTTTGGAGTGACGCGGTCTTGCCACGTGGCAGGCCCTGGTTGGCCGGGACTGCTGACCGGGCCTGCTGACGTGGCTGCTGACGTGGCCGCCCCTTTTTTTTTTTTTTTTTTTTTTTTTTCTCCTCCTTTCCGGGTGCTACATTAACTAATAAATTTATTAAAATAGTTATTAAAACATGTAACAAAATATATAACATATATTTTATTATATATTAATTATTTGAACTATGTATTAATTATATTAAAAGTGGTATAAATAAATAATTGAATTAAATCTATATCATCGAGTTTAACTAACATCTAAAACACGAGTCAGTAAGTTATAAAAAAAATACAAAATCTTAAATTAAAAAACTTCAAATCATAAGCGATCAATTAAGATTTATCTATATTTTTATGTCATTTACATTAAAGCATAGTTTAATAATTATCGCATAACTATATTTTAATTATATTCTTTTACATTCTATTAGTAATTTACATCTACCTTATATGATGTTAGTATGAAAACTTGGAGCAGAAAATGCTTATGATAGATAATTTAGATCTAATTTATTTAAATAAAAGAACTAGAAAGTAATAAAGTAGGTAAACAACCCATAACTTAAAATTTTATTATTTAAATATAATTGAAAAACATTAATAACCATTATAAAAGGAAGAAAATTATATAAGAGAAGGAAGTTACCTAATTTTTTTTCCTTTTAGGAGACCAAAAAACACATTTTATGTCATTGGAAATATTTTATTACGATCTTCCGCTAAAAATTTGATAATTGGTGTGAACAATCTAACATTTCAAAACAAGTTAGAAAATCATAAACTATCCAATAAAAGTTGGACGACTAGAGATGGTCAATGGGGCGAATTACAAACTTATGTCGACCATTAAAAAATGGATTATGAAATTTGTTCTTACTTCTAGAGAAGTTCCCCCTCAAAGATTTTTATTATATTATAACAATATGAATAAATCTTATTTCTTTTATAAAATGAGATAATAATGACTTTAAATTTACATTTAACTCCCATAAAATAATTATCTCTAATAGAAGATTTTTGTTAGAAGAGGCTATGTCAAAGACAATATGTATTTATTAAGTATCAATAAGGGCTTTACTAGTTTTAGTTATATTATTAACTCTTATGAATATTTAGTTTGATATTTTATAGTAGGATATTTAAGTATTGATCTTATCCATCGTATAATTTTGCATGGTTTAATTCATAATGACTAATTTTATCTCATACATGAAAGGATGTTCATGTTGTAGATAATAAAAAAACAATGAAACCTTTTTTCTGAAGACAGTAATTTGCATTAATACTAAACTTATATAGTTAAATTTTTTTAACAATAATAATTTAACAAAAAGTGGTAAATGTTACTTTATATGTATATTGGTGATTTTTCAAGGTTTAGTTATGTACATCTATTAAAATTGAAGTCGTCTTCATTTTAAGTATTTAAAAAATGGAGTGAAAATTTAATGGTTAAAAAAATTAAAAGAGTAAGAATTGATGGAGGAGAATATTTGATATTCATAACAAAAATTACTAGAGCGTTTTCTACACCTAAGCTATTGTACAGAGTTATTGTCTTATGGATCTCATATCAATATCTTTGATGCCTCCTTTAGTCAATCCAATAATTATCTAGAATGAATCTTTTTTAGTGTCATGGCAAATAATGCTTTTGATATTAGCCTTAAGTTCCCTACATTCGTCAAACATCATCCCATATCATGGTAAAAGAAATAATACGTTTATTTTTACAACTTTTAAGGTTATGGCCATTTGACAATTTTTACCCTTTTGCATCTCAGCTAGTATTTGAGTTGTTTAAGAGTTAAACGGGATATACTTATTAGTGTGGGAGGGTATAGGCAAGATTGAATTAACTC